GGCTCCATGCGTCGAGCACAGATGGTAGTGGTAGTAGTAGTGGTGGTGGTAGTAGTAGTAGTAGCAGCAGCAGCAGCAGCAGTAGTAGAAGTAGTAGTCGTCGTCGTCGTAGTAGTAGTAGTAATAGTAGTAGTGGCAGTAGTAGTAGTAGTAGTAGTCGTCGTCGTCGTCGTGGTGGTGGTGGTAGTCGTGGTCGTGGTCGTGGTGGTGGTGGTGGTGGTGGTGGTAGTAGTAGTAGTAGTAGTAGTAGCAGCAGCAGTAGCAGCGGCGGCGGCGGCGGCGGCGGTGGTAATAGTAGTCGTAGTAGTAGTAGTAGTAGTAGTAGTAGTAGTAGTACTAGTAGTAGTAGTAGTAGTAGTAATAGCAGCAGCAGCAGCAGCAGCAGCCGCCGTGGTGGTGGTGGTGGTGGTGGTGGTAGTAGTAGTAGTAGTAGCAGCAGCAGCAGCAGAAGTGGTAGTGGTAGTGGCAGTGGCAGTGGCAGTGGCAGTGGCAGTGGTAGTGGTAGCGGTAGTTTTTGTTTTGCAGTGGTAGTGGTAGCAGCAGTACAGCAGCAGCAGCAGCAGCAGCAGCAGCAGCAGCGGCGGCGGCAGCAGCAGCAGCAGCAGCAGCAGCGGTATCAGTCGCAGTCGCAGTCGCAGTCGGAGTCAGAGTAGGAAGCAGGAATAGGAGTAGGAGCAGGAGCAGGAGGAGGAGGAGGATGAGTGGGAGTAGGAGTAGGAAGAGGAGGAGTGGGAGTAGGAGTAGGAGTAGGAGTAGGAGTAGTAGGAGTAGGAGGAGCAGGAGGAGCAGGAGGAGCAGGAGGAGGAGGAGGAGGAGGAGGAGGGAGGAGGGAGGAGTGAGGAGTGAGGAGTGAGGAGGAGCAGGAGGAGTAGGAGGAGTTTGAGTAGTCGCAGGAGCACAGGCAGGAGCAGTAGCAGCAGAAGATAGCAGCAGGAGGAGGAGGAAGTATCAGTTTGGTATAGCAAGTGTTGGACTGGGCGTATGAGTCGTAGTCGTAGCGGTAAGAGAAGTACTAGTTGTCGTCACCGTCATGGTGCTAGTCAGTGCTCGTCGTCCTCCTAACAGCAGTCCGCGAACACATCGAACCGAACGGCGCACCTCCCGGAAGCGCGACAGCATCCATGGGAGCGTGAGCCGAACAAAGACCAAGCCTCCGCTAGTGGGATCAGCCGGAAGTTCGGGAAGTAGTTGGGTGCCAGATTCACATGAAGGGTTTCGGGCACAAAGTCTCTAGGGTTTGGGGTGCTGGGATGCTAGTGATGCTTTGCCGGGGGGCATGGATGTACGCGCTTTGGAGGCTCAATTCGTTGCTCAAGAAACAGCCGCAAACGCTACAATGCCGCTGCCCGACTCGTCAGAATGGGCATGCTTCCGGTTGTAGTCCAGCAGGGACGTGAAAGGGATGCAGTCGCGTAGCGATTCCGTCGCATGGTTTTTGAACCTGGTACTGTGCTGCCATGAATGCGTCGGCAAGGCTCTTCTTCCGAAGGTGCCTTCTTCGTGAATCGCTGAGGTTCACTTCTGCGCATCTGGTCAAAGCGGCACAAGATACTGTGATGAGCCATGTGCGCCTCCCACGATCAGATACGAGGGCTGCGCGTCGCCACCTGAAAGTTTGGATCTTGAGTCGAAGGTTGGGACACGAGGCTCCTTTCCGGTCCTATCCAAGAGGTTGAGGCCTGCAAGTGCTGCGACTGTCAGCTTCCACGAATTAGCTCTGAAACCATATACTCGTCTAACGTCTGGTACGAATACTATCACGAATGCCCTGTTCTTCATGTGGGCCAGTGAGGAACATTCGTGCTTCCGACGGTGATGTTTGCTGTGAGCGACTGTGCTGGCGACGACGCAGCAGCAAGGCTGTGCATTTCCCAGTCATGGACGAGATATGCAGACGTGATTCTGCGGCGAGCTCAAGCGACGGTGATACTGAAGAAGAAGAAGAAAAGATATAATTACGGTGGTGGCGATGGTGTTGACGGTGGTGACGAGAACGAAGAAACTCATAATGATGGTGACGACGAAGATAACCCTGGTGCTGATAACGGTGATGACCGTTGCACGACAGGTCTCCATTCTATGCAGGCGTATGCAGGCGTACCATGAATCACCACTGCCGTACTTCCGAAAAGATGGGTGTTCTGGTGATGGTGACTCCGGCGGTGCAGACGATGACGACGATGTTGACGGTGATGTGGTGCTGGCACTGATAACGACACCGAAAAAACAGTAACATGCTGATGATGATGATGATGACGATGATGATGACGATGACGATGAGGATGATGAGGATGATGGGGATGATGAGGATGATGATGAGAATGATGACGATGATGACGACGATGACGAACACAATGGTGATGATGATGTTGATGATGATGATGATGGTGGTGGTGGTGATGCTGAAGTTGATGGTGATGACGAAGGTCGGCGATGACGATGAAGATTATGATCATGTTACGGTGATGCTGATCATGACGATGATGGATACTGCTGTGGGTGAGGACGACAACGCGGATGACGGGGATGACTCACGCTTTCAAAAGCAGCCGCGCTTGAGCCCAATCCATACACTCAGACTTTCTGCATCCTCAGTTTCTGCACCGCTGCGCTCCGAGGCGACAGAGCTGTCAACACAGCCGTTGTTTGGCGCAGACACTGTTGCGTGCATGCCGGGGCAGGACATGCTCGGGTCTGTAGGGATGATAACCAGCATAGCGAGCATGAGGGTACGATTACTGATGGTGATGATGATGGTGAGGATGAAGGTGATGATGGTTATGGTGATGATGGTGATGACGATGTTGCTGCTAACGGTACTGATGGTGCTCATGGTTCTGATGGAGCTGCTGGAGCTGATCTGAACTGGCGCTGGTGCTGGTGCTGGGAGCGGAGACTTCGTAATCAGGACTGGTTTACATTATAACTTTGCATTGCTAAGCCCTCTTTATTCGGAAGATCAGCTCTTAAATGGCTTGGAGAGTGTTTCGGTGCATGATCTTTGCTCTGGTCGTTAATTATATTTGGAATTATGCAATGGTACTCCCTATACCATGACTAAACCCACGGCCGGATGTGCTGTGTTCGCCTCGCACATCGGGCACACACGGGCCTTCGGCTGCTGGCTGGTCCGCACTCTCCAGGCCGACCTGTCCTACGCCCGCGATGCGGGCCTAGTGGCTCGTGGCGGGGGCTTTCGCTTGCCCCGCCCCTTCAACTCTTTTCCCAGCTTTTGGGCCCTTGCCTCGGCTTCCTTCTGCAGCTTGAAAGTGCCTGCATAAATTGTGTTCCGCTCGGAGGGGTCATACACCCGCACCTGCCAGCGCTTACTGGCGGAGTGCCAATACACGCCCTTGACATCGGAGAACTGCCTCGCCAGCCCCCGGGCCTTGGCCACGGCATCCTTCTTCACCGCGAAGGAGCCTCCGAATCTCCTAGTCTTGGCGGAGGGGGCGGTAAAGGTAAACGTGCCAGCACCGACGCGCTTTGTGGTAATGAACGCCCTTCACCTTGGCCGGTTTGGAGCTCGGGCTCCGCTCGGTCTCTGTCACAGCGGCGCCCTTCGAAGCTTTCGAAGGGATCTGGGGCCTTTGCTTCCGCTTCTCCGTCATCTCCCGGGCCTTGGCCTCGGCCTCCTCCTGCGTCTTGAATCTGCCTCCGTATCTCCCTTCTTTGGCGCAGAAGTCCCACAACCTAACTTCCCACCTCCGTTGCTTTTCAAAAAAAGTATACGCCCCTCACCGCAGAGCTGAAACGTTTTGCAGGGGCTTTCGGCTTGAGCTGGAGCTTCATGGCCTTGGCCTTTGCCTTTGCCTTGTTGACCCTCAACTTCGCCTTGCTTTGGCCCCTGGCTCTCGGCTCGACCTCGGAAGGCTTCTCGCAGGTCTCGACGGAGCCCAGGGATCCGGGTAAGACCTCCAGGGATCCGGGCCGGTCGTCCTCCGCCTCTTCGGTAGGCTCCGGGCCCCGCATCCAGGGCCGCATCTGCATGCAGATCAGATTGGGCTGTGGATTCGAGGCCGAGCTGGGCTGCCTCTGAAAAGGCTCGTAATGCGGATTCTCGAGGAAGAAACGATGCAACTCACACAGCTCCTCTAGGCTCAGGAGTTGTACACATGCTTTCGCCTGGCCCTGCTTCAAGCCTTGCCAGCGACAAGCTTCCAGATCCAAAAAGGGGTTTGCAGGGCAGCATGGCTTCGTGGGCACCCATGTCTCGCCCGAGGCTTGAAACCTAAGGCACTGTTCAGCCCACTCCGTCAGTCGCGACTGGAAGGAAGGAAGTGAGATGTCCTCATGCGGCTCCTCCTTAACCATGGCAGCCATGCGCGAAGCCACGAACTCAAAAAAACACCAAAAGCCTTACATTGCGGCCCAAATCCTTCGTGAACCAATCTGAAAAAAGCAAGACGATAACCGTGAGCCCTGTAGGCCATAAGTCCTTCTTCTTAGACATAGACCCCGACATACTAAGCGCTTTGCGGTAGAAAGCCCAAAACCCCCAAACTGCACATCCCATGACCTGAGCCAGTCCAGCATCAAACTGATGGAGCCGTTTGGTGCACAGGGCTGTACTGTTAAAACGTTTTATAATAGCACTAACTATTATCATTCTTACTTTCATTCTTATCATGATGATTAGTATTAGTAGTATTTCTCTGGAACACTCTAACAGACCTGGGTCCTGCCTGAGACGAAACTCTCGGGCGCGCACCATCCCTTCTGGGAACGAGCTTCCTGGGCGGCCCCATCGTCTAGCATCCGGATTTTGAGGCTTGACGGTTAGAGACAAGTTATGGCTCAACCCATGGCTCAACCTGCAGCATTCCGGGAAGATGCGAGCTATTGCACAACGAGACTTGCCATTCAACACACGAGCAGTATCAAGATGATGAAGCCTTCCTGGCCCCTCTAGTCAGGACATGCCCGAAGCCCGTGCTTCAACCAGGAGCTCTCTGTGCCCGGAATCTTGGTTACATCCGAAATATTGCCGAGCAGCTCGACATGATCAGCTTTCAGCTCCAGCTCGGCTGGCACGGCGATTGCTTGGCCCTCCTGCTTCGCGGACTGGGCGACAGGTTGGGGCATTTAAGGCCTCCGGGCCTGGATTTCGCGGCTGTTGGCTCAGCGGCTTGGGATAGAGAGTCTCGGGTTTAAGTTTAGGGCTACGGTTGCATCCTGCATGGCAAAGACAGCCTCTTCTCGGCAGGGCACAAACAGTAGCAGAACGGAGTTCGCACAGTTCGCATCTCTAACCTCCCACGTGGGCGGGACCGCCTGATGTAGGAACCCCAGGCCCTAAAACCCGCTCAAGCCAAGGAAGACAGATCTGTCAAACAAGCCGCCAGAGCACTCAAGAGGGTTTCCACGCAGCATCAATCCTCAACCCACTGCCAAGCTCCCTAAGCAGTCCGAAAATCATTTTCTCGCATATGGGCTCAAATCGCAATCCACCGGAACCCCTGGCACCCCGCAAACTCTACCCTCTTCGGTGCTGGCCCTACTGCAGTCTCTGAAGTGCTTTCAGCTCTGGTGCTTCAGGCTTCAGCTTGAAGAGTTTGAAGCTTTGGGACTTCAGGGTTTGATGACTGTTTCAGGCTTTGGGGTTTAGGAGGGTTTAGGGCTGAAGGGTTTGAGTAGTGTTTGGGGGTTTGGGGTTTGAGGCTTCTGGCGGCGAGGGGCGGTGTTGTTAAAATGACTTCAATCTGCAGGGTCTTCTGGTTCCCTGTCGGAGCTATATTTACAATGATAACGTTTAATCCTTGTTGGGTTTTACTATAACACAAATGTCAAGGAGGTACACGCAACCGTCTCTGCCCTGCGCTTACCGATAGTCTAGCATAGTGTACTATATAATGCTATACCGTAGCGTATAATAGTATAGTGTACTGTTTAATAGTATAGCATAGTATAGTATAGTATAGTATAGTACAGTAGAGCAGAGTATAGTATAGTGTATCATGTCATAATGTAGTAAAGTATGCTACAGGTACATTCTCTACGTTATCCAAGCTACTAGTACATCCACTGACAAGAGGTGCAATGGGACCCCGGAAGCTCCTGAACAGCCTGTTCCAGATCAGGGTTCCCGATTGAGGTTAGGGCTTTTCTCCCACTCACGGCAACCTTTAGTCAAAGGCGAAAGATGGGTGCGCTATGAAGTGAACGCCGGATTTATAGGGTTTTTCTCCCTCCCACTTGTTTTTCTCCCTAAGGCTTATGGCACCTTGAGCTAGGCCTCCGTATAGTTCTCTGGAGCCCGGTCTCTCCGTACATTTTTGTTTTGGATCTCCCTCAACGTGTACAGCTGGATCTCCCTCGACGTACAGCTCTTCTATCAACAAGACCTTCAGAAAGGGACCAAGGAACCCCAAACCCCTTTCTTCCCACACCCAGAATCGAAAAGCCTTTATAGCACCACACATAACAACTCTTCAAAAAAGAGCCCTGATGGAATCCTTCTTCTTTCCCCCCAGATAAGAACCCATTTGATCCCTTTTCCCACGGAGCCGTGAACTCCTTGCCGCCAGTGAGGAGCTGCACTCCTAGAACTCTGGCAGCTCTGATGCTTTCGGAAAACTTGGGGGGGGGGGGTTTAGAATGCTTTTAGGTTTTTCGGTGTTTTTTTTTTTTGCGGCTTCTTTTGGCACGGCACTGAGACAACTCGCTAGCCGGCTGAGTCGATTCACTCAGCAGGCAAGGCTGTCAGACATGGCTAGGCAAGAGGAAGAACAACAGGTATCACAACCAACAGCAGTCCCTCAAAAATGCGCACTCGGCCCTACACCCCAAGATCTAGTTCGGCCCAGAGAGGGACCTGTGAAACATCGAACCTCACGCTACAGTAGCATAACTCACTCCACCCCTTCCTCACGTCTTCACAAATATGACATGCGGAGAACTTCAAACTCCATGCAGACTGTCATGCAGAAAACCAATTGCAGAATTCCAGCTCGTGCTGATAGACCATGCTTGCATGCATCCATGCCGAATTCGAATTGACGTGCAGAGGTTGTAGGGTTCAGGGCTTAGGGCTTTAAGGTTTTCGGGTTCAGCGATTTTTTTGCACGACCCTTTTCCCCCGGCTACGTTCACGAAAGAAAGGGTTCAGTTCACGAAAGAAAGGGTTCAGGGTTTAGGGCTTGGGCTCTCGCAACTCGGACAATGCAGGCGAGGTTGGTTCGGTTCGGCAAGGGCTGTAAGGTTCAGGGTGTTACGCTCTCACAACTCGGACATGCCAGGCGAGGTTCATGGTACGAGGTCGGCGTGACACTGGACTCGACATCCCAGTACAAGTACAGACCCGGATCTACAACACCCACGTCTGAACCATTACCATTATAAAGACTCCCAGTATGGGACATCGTCAGAGGGACTACTGACAAGTTTGGCCCAGTTCATCTGCTCACCCAACAGAATGAACTACACAACAAACATTACACATCAGCACACGAACTGGTAAACTATGTGTCGTACTAATCTCATGCGACATGGGGCAGGGAGATCAGAGTAGCAACAACAAGTTAAGGTTTTCCGATCTCGGAGTTTTGGGTTTGACTCGTCTGGTGCTCTGGACTAACGCGGCTTGGCGGACCGTGAGGGAGCTTGCGGATTTCAGCTTACCAACAGCCCTCTTGTCTGAACTGCAGTGCCTGGCGAGGCAAGGAATGTGTAGGAACCCCCCTGGTCCTTGGGACTGCGAGAAACCAAAGCCTGAACTCTGAACTTAAACTCTGAAGTCCTTCGTCCCCAGTAGCCCCGAAACGGACACTGTACGTCGAGCAGCTCATGGTCTCGCCGACCACTTTCCGAGTGATCAGAAACTCGAACCTGAAGCAGAGCTCTTTCTCGCATACACGCGCAAAAACACGCGCGGGAGAAGTTTTTTTCGGGGCCCCGTTCTGGTGCCATCACCGACCAAAGTGGCCGGAACTGTGGAGAGGATCCCTCTCTGCAGGGTACCCTATACTAGTCGGGAGCCTGGGCCGAAGAGCCCAGACACCCTCAACGCTCCAAAACCCCTTCTGAGCCCCAAAAGCCCCTCTTAAGCCTCCATCGCCAACTCAGCCTCAAGTCTTCCAGGCGTGCCGAGCTGCCCGATCCGCTCCATGTCGCGGAAGGGAACGGTGCCATCCTGGCGATGCATGCGGAATCGCTCTGCTAAAACCAGCATGGGTACCTCCCGAATCCTAAACTGTCCTAAACTCTGACACCTTTTGAAACCCTCAGACCTCTCCCCAGCGGTCTCAACTCGCTAAAACCCAACATCGCAGACCCCAGGCCTCTGCCACAGGAACGCCGTCTACAGCCAGGAGCACGTCCCCAACCTCAGGGCTGCTGAAAGACAGTTCAGGGTTTAGGGTTTAGGGCGAGCTCAGTTCAAGCCTGTGGAAAAGGGTTTAGGGATTGCGAGCTGTTTTGGTCTCCTACCCCCGCACGCTTGACTCTTCATGCCCTGCAGCTCGGCGTGACGGTTGAGGCCTGACGGATTGGGGCTGCCTTGAGATCTAGCTTCTGAAAGGCATCACGAACTAAACCGCTCCAGAAGAGAACCCCGCACAATCCGACACAACATTTCCTGCCCCCGGCCAACGATCCTGCGACTGCGAAGCTGCGACGAGCTGACGAGGGGAGCCTACTGTGTACAAAGCTCACGCCCGAAACCCCCGCACCACGCTGTGCTCCTGCCTGGATACCTGCATCCGCGGCAGGAGACAGCGGCGCAACCTGACAGCCGTGCCCGTGCTTCATTTGTGGCGAGGCTTTGGTCTTTGAGAGTATATACTTGAAGGTTCAGGGGCAACTGTGAATTATGATTGGGGTGGTGAGTACGCTAGCTTCAGAGTTGTAGCCCTCATTAAGGCTTTCGGCTCTAAGCCTTAAGCCTTATACTTCTAGAGTCGTAGACCCGTTTCCGGCGCTTATAACGCATCTTCAGGTGCCTCGGATCTAAACGGATGTGTTCACTTCAGGCGCGGCCTGCGCAAGGGGCACCAAGACAGGGTTGTTGAGGGTCGTCACCGGTTTAGGGATTCCAGAACCCAAACTGCCGGAAAGCTAAACCCTAAACTCGGAACCCAAGCCCCCGAAGCACCTGCACTCAGGCAACCCGTCTCGGCTTACTTCCAAGTCAAGAAGCGCCCCCCCCCCATCCGAGATAGATCCTTCTCCGGAAGTATCGAACAACTTCGTGCTATCATGACTATCATGCTACCTCACTAAAAACTACCCTCTGACAACATGTCAACATCAATACGCAGCCCCTGTGACATGCTAACAGGCTCCAAAACCTGAAGGCACTGATACATGCCACAGAC